AAGTTGATAGTGTAATTCTCCAAAGAGGAAACATGTGAAAGTAAACTTTTGACAAATAGTTACTACAACATACTATGAGATAAATTCATTTTAATAGGACCTTTTGTTATTGTTGTTTTAAAAAAAATACAGTGTCTCTCATAGTTTTATTCACTATCAGATATTAAAACTGTGTTTTAATTAAAAACAATTGGAAAAATAACAATTTCTAGCCCACGAACACAATAGTACTTAAAATGAAGACTTGCGTGGATGATCTTTGTAATACATCTCCCTATCTGGAATTCTTCCATTTCCCTTTAACACCAGTCTGTCATTATAGACATATATAGTTCCAAAAGCATTGCTTTCTGGAGGAGTTTCTATAATCCCTTCAAGTGTCAGGTGATGGACTCCATGAAAATCTAGACAGTAACCACCATAATGAAGATGGCCTCCAAGAAAACATACTACAGAGTGATGTGAATGAATGACAGCAAGGGCATCTTTATAATTCCAAGCCAGGCAAATACTGCTTGTACAGTCCGGGTTGATGGGTATGTGTCCTGCAATACAAGAATAAATGCATTGAGAATAAATGCACTCAAAATAAATGAAATACCATAATTTTTGTCCGCACATGAAATCTACAATAGTATATCATTCTACAGGCTCTCACTAAAATTTGATATCTTCCGCTAAAATCTTAGTTCCTTATGTAAACTTGAAAGCTGCCAATTCTTACATTGCCTTCCAGTGTGTAACATGGGACAAATACCCAAATACTTATGGAATATTAAAGAATACAATTCAGCGTAGGGGTATTGAAATCACAAGAGTAAAACACTTGCTCTGACAATATTTGGAATTCTTTGTTATCTGACAGACAAGTAAATGCAGAACTAGACTTTTTTTTAACAATTTACATAATTTACAATTTACAGGTAAATATTGATTTAAACTTCTAATTATTAAAAAGGTTCAGAAGAAGCAATATTGGAAAATTACAGTAAAAGTAATCAGGCTCCTTTTCCAATTTTTTCCCCCTTTTTGGGAAAGCTTAGATTGCAAGATGCAAAATAATAAATAATGGAATATTTGTTTATTCTCTCTTGGGTCACAGTCTGTTGTTACGTGTCTTCATTTAGGTGCATTAAATCAGATTCAAGAAAGAGAACTTCTCAGAACTAGTAATATAGATGTAAGTGAAAAATGGTTGTTTCAACTCAAAACTCATTTACATGTTTAGGTCTGTGTCAGGTCAGTAGCCAAAAACTCGGGAAATGCAGGTAGAGAATTAACAAATTGTTAATGGATTTATGTACTATGTACTATGTTGATTTTAATGTCTTTTCTGCTTTAACGTGCTGTAAGCTGCCCACAGTTGGATACAAGATGGGTGGCAAATAAATTTCCTAAATGAATAAGTACTTATTACTTCCTTTCTCTACTATGCAGTTCCTGGGAAGGGGTGAGAGGCAAGCCTGCCCCCCATTTTTCCTGTTATGTCCTCTCTGCCTCTTTAACTATAACTGTTGCTGGTGTCCCAGTAAAGTGTATCCCACTGGTCTGCTATCTCTTGATCTTCCCACCTTCTTTCCTTCCCTGAAGTATTCCAAACATTCACAGTTCAGTTCAGGCAGCAAACAGTCCAAACCAGCAGAGAACACATCACCAGTCAGAATGGTAAAACCAGAGATATTAAGATTATTTTATTCTGTCCCCAATAGTATTAATTATTAAAAGTACAGCCATACCTGCAATCACAACTTTCTCTTGATTCTCATCAGCATAGGTAAGAACTTTATCAACCCAGTCCAGCTGGTCTTGACTAAATCCACCATTGAACTGTACAAAATTGCATTCAGCAAGCCCTGAAAAAAAAATTGATGGGAAGCTATATAACAAGCAACAATTTTTATTATGGTCATGTAGCAGTACCACAAACACACATGCCAATATTTGTAGTTTAAAATGCACTTTTTATGAAGAATGAATGAATAATTGCCAATTCCAGAAATGTGTATTAAAAGCAAGGTGTCCCTCACTTTAAAGGATCAAACTAAGCCTAGTAAACAAAGAAAACGGGATTTAAAAAGTTTGCTTCAACTGAGTTTCCTGGAGGTAGAAATATGTCATTGCCTCTATTGATATTTTAATCAGGTTGCATACAAATTAATAAATTACAATTTAATAATCGAAAATATTATAATATTAATACTATGGCAATTATACAGAACACATCAGTGTTTGTAGGTATTAAATATAGATGTACTACTTTCCTAATTAGAGATTACATAAATTTGCCTAGCTTTCTGTGTGAAAAAGTTGGCATTCCGAAATGAAGATTCCATGGGGGTGATGTCCTTTCCATATACTTTAAAGGAATATCAAGAAAATAAGACCACATACGAAAGTTAAGTGCTCTTACTATCCACTTATGATAGTAAGTGGTCCTATAGTAAATGGCTTTGTGTTAAGATTATCATAAAACTTGGTATGACAGACTTAACATGAGTAGTTTCCTAAAACTCCCTAAAAGTTCCCTAAAATAATATATGGAGGAAATAGCAATTTTTTCATCCATACAAAACCAGCTTTCCCAGACTATGACTGTAAAAATGTGCAACAATTATGTTCAGCAGAATATAATACCTAGTGGACTATTCAGATTTTCATTCTGATTTTTGTCTTGTAGCAGCTGTAGAGATTCTTTATATTTTTTTGTTGATGTTTCCCTCCCCAGAATACTTAAGTCATATGCATCAAGAAGAATGAATCGAAATTTAGGCATTGGAGAAAATTGGTATGCATAATAGAATTCTGTAGTTGGATTTTCTGTGGAGCTCTGTTCTCTGATAAAGTTATTAAACAAACTTTGGTCTTCTAAGTACTTGGTATTCAGTTCAGATTCCATAAGATAATTCCGGCTGAAATTATACAATTCATGATTGCCCCATATGTGATGGACTGGTGCATTGAGTTTCTTAAATTCCTTCATAACTTGTTGCAGTGCTTTCTCTGATGTCTTATGTTGGGCATTGAAGCCATCAATGATGTCCCCAAGCTGTATTACAAACTGAACCTCAGTTCGGTTCCAATCTTCAATTGCCTTCTGGAGAGAACACAGGCTATGCTTGTAATATCTCCTATTGAATCCCAGGAAATCATAACCATCCTCTATATCAGCATATTGAATGTCTGCTATGATTCCAAAGGAGAAGAGCGCTTCAGGTGTTGTTCTTGTGGATCCTGCATCCATTTTGCAAAAAAGTCTTGCTTAGAACTAAGAGAAGGAAAAAAAGAACATATGAATTGTTTGGATGATAAGTATTTGGTGAGGTAACATGCAAGTCTGTAGGAATGCTTTACAGTTTTTGATGGACCTGATGATCTTTTCAGCAAATCGTATTTCATAAAGATAGAATATATTTGAAATGACACAAATTAAAACTGCGTTCATATACAGTTCTTTTTCTCTCAGATTTATATAAGAAAACTACTTGCAATCTTATTAATTTGCATTCTGTCAAACCAATAATTTAAACTGGGAAAACCATATTCAGCAGAAGTCTGCATATGCCTATTAAGAACACAACACTGTCACTAATACTATGTGGCCAAGTAGGAAGCAGCACTACAGGTAGTTTAGTGAGTCACGCCTGATTTTATGACATTTTCCCTGTCATTAAGTGAATCATGCAGTTATTAAGAAATATAACTTTTCCCATTGATTTTCCTTGTTGGAAGCAAGGGGGGGGGATGAAATGTTGATTTTGGGTTTTACTGATTAGATAGATTTGTTGATACAGAAATAGCTAGTTTATAATATTATTTCAAAGTAAAAAGGTGGAATCTTGATGTTATTATCTTATTCTACTGCACCAAAGGGAATCGG